TTACATAATAATGAATCTGACCATAATCCCATTCATATTCATGCTCTTCTTTTTCAGTTAGTGTGAACATAATCTCTTTATTCCAGCTTACTTTATTTGTACATTAATTTTATGGATTTGGACAAAGGATAGGCCCATCTTATTTTTGATAAATCCTCTTTACTCTCAGCCCAAGTTGTAAGATATGTTGACACTCCAGTGTCAATCTCTTCTAGTTATAAAAGACTTGTCCTTAAGTCTGAATTAGTCTTCTCACCATAGTAGGGAGACAAATCAACAACATTGAAGGTGAAAGGTACTCTAAAAGTGTTGAAAAGCTTTATCTTGTAGGTATTTTTCCTAATGCGTTGTAGAATTCTAAGTGGACCATCTGTCTTAGATTGTAATTTGCTAAATTTTCATGAAGGAAATCTCTCTTTCCATAAGTTAATCCATACCAAATCACTTTATTTGAACTACACATATTTTCGATGCTTGTTTGTTGTCCTTTTATAATTCTCATTTCGTAGCAAAATCTTAGCTTTCACTTATTCATGCAATTGTTTAATACCCTTAGCCATTTCTTCTGCATCTCTACTAAATTGTTGATTAATAAGGAGATGAGCTAAATTTAAAAGGCTGATTGAATTCTTATCATACACTACCTCAAAAGGGTTATAACCAGTGGTTTGACTCGATAAGCATTACAGGTAAACTTTACTTAAGGTAAAACAAAATCTCATTGTTTGATATTCTTTCCTACATAACTTTTTAGAAGGTTGCCCAAGTTATGATTGGTTACTTCCATTTGACCATTTATTTGAGGATTATGAGAAAAACTATACTTGAGATTGGTGCCAAGCTTCCTTCAAAAGGTGCACCAAAAATGGGTAAACACTTGAAATCCCAATCAGACACCATGGATCTAGAAACTTCATGTAGCCTCATAATTTTCTTGAAATATAGATTAGAAACATGAGAAGCAACTATAATTTTGGTACAAGAAATGAAATAGGCCATTTTAGAAAAATGATCCACGACCACCATAATGGGATCCTTATTCTGTTGAATACTTAGCAATCCCACTACAATGTCCAAGCTGATATTATCTTTTCCAAAATGTTCTTCTAATACACCATCATGAAGTTTGGTGAAAATGGCTTGTCTTTGAGGGCTGTACAGGTAGTTAGCTTTGAATAGAAAGCTATCATGTAATAAAAATTGGTTATGTGACCCAAGCTTGCATTTTTTTCAAAATCTATCAAAATAAAGAACCTTTCTCATAGAGTTCTTTGTGCACATCAAAGTCAATAACTTGATTAGTCATAGTTCTCAAATATAGAGTGCTTTAGGCTCAAAGCTTTACCACCATATTAGAAATTTTAGATTTGTGTTTGACAACAAAGTAATAAATTAAAGAAACTCATCCAAGTTACATGTCTTTGATTGAACTTGTGTTGGCTGTTAATAATCTTTAGTACCTCATGATCAGAATATAGAATGACTTGGTAATGAAATACTGCCTTCAAAAGAATAAACTTTATAAATAGTATAAACTTCTTATATAAATTGAGTACTTTCATTGGGAATCATTAAGCTTCTCACTAAAAAAGGCAATTAATTTTTTTTCTTCATTAAAGCAAGCATCTATAGGGGCTACATCACATCATACTTCATCTTAAAGTATTTCTCTATAGAAAATGCAACCAAATAATATTTGTTGATCTCGATCTCATTTTCGCGTTACAACCATGACAACTTGTAAGGGATGAGAATGTTTCATGTCTTTTTGATCCAGTTGCTACACCAAGAGAGTTGATGCCTTATTCTCAAAGTTGCCACTAGCAATAATCATTTTCACACAAATTATCATGAGCAATGCACTTAATGTGAAATTTATTTTTGTGCAACCAGTCTTCTTTTTTACATGCATATCACTCAAGCTGTATTGTATAATAAGTGAGGATTCAAGATCACCATAAGTCTCCTTAACATATTCTTTAAGATCTTGGGGTGGGTACTTCAGTATATTTTCCTTTAACATCTTCAAGATCTTCATCTTCAACCAATATAACTTTCTTGAGATTTGGACACTCAAAATGTATAGGCCCAACTTCTTAGCTCTTGAAGTCTTTTTCGATTTGAGTGTTGACAGCACTAGATTGTGATTTGTTAGGAATGACTCTTTTTTCTTTAATGGTAGATTTAAAAGGGGGTTTGGTAGAAACATTGATCTTAGATGTGCTTTTCTTTTTTAATGTATTCTTTATCAAAAGATTTTTTTGCTCAAGTTATGAAGCCTAAGAAAATATTTACCAAAAGTTGTTTGAGAGATACTTCTTCTTTAACTCTCTTTTCATCTTCTCTCAAGTTGTAATTTTTCTTTTGCTTTCTTTTCCCTTTACTTCTTCAAATTTTCTCACCAAAAGGATGCATGTTTTCTAAGTTAGATAGCCACTAGCTTCACCTTGCAATGTTTTTGGGTATCATGGTATTCAAATATACGTTCCATCGTATTTAGCCAATCTAAGAATTCTTTAGGTTGCATCTTTCTTTTGAACTCAGGAATCTCTATCTTTGGATTAAATATGCTAGGTTAAAGTTAATTTTTACGTAGATAATCTCTTACTTGTCATGGGTGAGATGGGATGCTATCATTAGAATTATTATTGTTTTCATAGTATGGATTAGCCTCTTCTTCATCTTTTTCGTTTTTTTTCATTACCTCCTTATCTCTTCTCTCTTTCCTTATATATGCAGCTGTTGTTAAAGTTGAAAGATCTGTTGTTGTATCTCCTCTATAAGGGCATCCTTTGGGTCAACATTGATAGTTGCTGTAACGTCGGTGTTGGCTTCAACCTCTTCTGTTGGTGCTTGACGACGATGACCTACTATAGCTCTGATACCAAATTGATACTAGGAATTGATGTTTGAGATGTGAAGATTAACTGTAAATAGAAAAATTCACAAAGAAAATAACTCACAAGAATTTAAATAATTGTAGAATATGATTATTGGATTAAAAGAGATAAAAGTTCACCGCCAAGACTAGACATTAAGGGATACAAAAACATCACCCTAAGGGTTCTAATCAAGGATAAAAAATAATAGAAGTTCTCCACTCTAAAAATCTACCTAAAAGATACATAACTTAAATAACAATCTAAAAGATCGCTTAAGGATAAAAAAAACTCTATTTTGTCTCCTATCAAAAAATAATAAAAAATATATAGGCTAGGAACATCTTTCAAAACATGAAAACTTTTAGATTGAATTGCTAAAATCATGCATAAAATCAAAGGATTTGTATATGAATCCATTTACTTTTGTAAATTACATAATAATAAATTTCACCATAATCCCATCCATATTCATGCTTTTATTTTTCAATTAATGTGAATACAATCTTTTTATTCTAATCCATCTTATTTTTATATTTATTTAGTATATTTAGATCAAAAATAAACTCATCTTATTTTTTAATAAATCTTCATCAATTTTAACCTAAACTATAAAATGTATAGACACTCAATATCAATAATACATAACTTTGGATCTATTTGAGAGTCTCATTATTCTTACCTCATGGAAGACTGCTTTTTATGATTAGACTCTAGTCGAGCTCTCAAATAAACTCTTGGTAAATTTTTTAGAAGATTTTTGTCACGTGAATGCATTAAAATTTGGATTGGCCAATTACCGATTACTTTTTTAAATTATAAAACTAAATTAAAATCATAATTCTATATTATATTCATATATGATAAATCCCGAACATTCAAATAAATAAATTAATTAACAAAGCAAAAATTAATTAAACAATTTCAACATACAATTAAATTAAAAATGACAAAAGTACAACAAAAATAATAGTAAACCATTGGGAATAAAAGCATTCTTCCTCCCCGTAACCCCAATTTTAAATGCCATTTGGTCGGTATCCTGTCCCCAATACCCTGCAATTATTTGATTATTACTGCAATAATTTACAATACTAACACATTTCAACATTAATTTTAATTATCCCAAGAATTAAACACTTAAAAAACCACTTTATAAATAATTAAATATCCTATTGGAGTTTGGACAAACCAATACAACAAGAACGACAACCGGCCTTCTACAACTGGTGTGGTCTAAAGGCCAGTGAGTTGCACCGTCCCAATCCAAACTACGTATGCACCAGAATATTTTTACCACTCACACGTAGGGAGGACATTATGAACGGCTTGGAAATGCCACGTGTGTATCAAGTCCTTCACACGTGTGGGAAGTGTCGGTGGCTGACAACAAAGTCAAACCTCATAGAAAGAAAGAGAGAAAGAAGACAGTGGCAAAAGAAAGGAAAGTGAAGCGTAAAACAAAGCTGCAAGGGCAAGGGGCACCCTGGATTTTGTTATGGCCGTTAATTGCACCTAGCATTTGACACGTTCCAAAAATTTACTTCGCGTTTTTACCGCGATTTTTAACGGGATTGTATTTTACTTGTAGTAATTAGGAGATCAAAGGAAAATGCCACGTTGTGTAGAAAGTTATCTGGAAAGGATAAGTAAGTAGCGGGCTTTTGACTTTGATTATAAATTCATTAATTGGATTTCATTCAAAATTGATTTAATTCATTAATTTTTTAAAATTTAAATTATTATTTTTTATATATTATTTTAATATAATTTTTTATATATTTAAATAAATATAAATAAAACAATTATTTTATTTTATAAAAATTTAAAATATATAAAATTAATAAAATATGTAATTGATATAATTTAATTTTTTATTTTTATCTAAAAATTTAATAAATTTAATACATATTTAATATTTCAGTTTATTTCATATCAAATAAAAAATTAATTCAAATCAAACCAAAAATTAAACTTTAAATCAAAATTTGATTTTCTCTTTTTTTTTTTTTCTTTGCTCACCCGTTTCCTTTTATACCTTTTGTACCGTTCGAACTTCTACCGTTTCAAAACAGCCCACGTGTCTAACATCCTATCCTGCATTTATCAAAATCATCCGTCCAAATTATCAGGTCAATGATTGGAATTATTGAGATTATCACGAACTCCCCGATATACCCCTCAAAGCCATACGTGTATAACCACCAGAATTCCCGTACTTTTATTACCTAAACCGTGCTGCAGTGGAATATTAACCCCTCCCCCCCCAAAAACACAGACCCAGAGTTTGGTATGAAAGACACGGTTTGGCGGCTTTTGTTGTTAGTTTGCCTATCTTTTTCCCGTAGTAAAATAAAATCATTTCATTTCATTTTATTCATCATTTTTTCGAATATAAAAAAGATAAATATTAATACTTAAGTAGCAACTGCAGCTCAGTTAGCTGTCCACTCGTTTTTTATTCATTTTCATTTTATTTTCCTTCTTCTCTTTTCTCTTCTTACACTGAGTTTTCCAGGGAGCAGAGAGAAAGAAACGAATTCATAATTTTGAAAAGAAAAAATTTTCATTCCACTTGATTATATTTTTTTCCCACTGTTTGACATAGATTTTGCCGGTAATTTCCTTGGGGAAAATCGCAGTTTCTGAGAGCATCATTTTTTCCCTAGTTAGTTCGGAGCTATTTTGGTTACATTTCTGTTGGAGAGATCTGAGGTTTTCTTCTGGTTTTAGTCAGCGATCTGGGAGTTTGGTTTGGTTTGGTTTTCTTGCAGGGAAAGAATCGAAGATATTCTGTTCTGATTTTTTTTCTTTTTCTTGCCTTTGGTAAGACGCCATTGGCTGTTGTTGAAAGAAAAAGGAAGAAGGCGAAGAGTTGTAGTTTCTTTTATGTCTTTGTATTGTAAGCTTTTATTTTTTGTCTTTGTAAATACGCGTGGGCGTAGGAGTAGGACTCGTGTAATGCTGGGGTCAGAGTCTGAGAGTCTCTCGTAAAAACATCCTCTTAACTACTTTTGTCTGAAAAATACCTCTCCATGACTTCTGATACAGATCACCCATTTCCACTACTTCCAGAGATCTAAAAACAATCCCAGTGCTCCAGTAAATATCCTTTATTTTTTTTTAGTGACCGAAACCTTACATATTATAGTTAAAAAAAAAAAAAAGATGATGAGACTGAACACTATAGCGACAGGGCTGTCCCCGGTGCCAAATGGCGACTCAGCTTTTGGCGGTGGAGGTGAACCGGCTGCTAATGATTGGGAGCTTACACCCGGAGGCATGTTGGTACAAAAGCGAGACCCGAACTTCGATCGAATCTCCATCCCACCACCGAATATTAGAGTTAGAGTCAAGTACGGGTCCATCTACCACGAAATCAGCATCAATTCTCAAGCTACATTCGGTAAATTTTTCTCAGCTTTCACCAGAAAAAAATAAAAAAAATATATATATATATATATATATATATATGAAACTCTTTTTTGTTTGTTGGGTTTAACTCCGTTGAATTAATTAAATTCAAGTTATTGTCTTTGGGTTGTTTTTGGGATGGCAGGGGAATTGAAGAAGATGTTGACAGGGCCAACAGGATTACACCATCAAGATCAACAGCTGTTATACAAGGACAAAGAGAGGGATTCCAATGCGTTTCTGGACATGGCAGGTGTCAAGGACAAGTCCAAAATTGTTTTAGTTGAAGACCCAATTAGTCAAGAAAAGAGGATATTGGAGATGAGAAAGAATGCCAAGATGGAGAAGGCTTCTAAATCCATAACTGAAATCAGCTTGGAAGTCGATAGGCTTGCTGGCCAGGTATATAATATTGAAATTTGCAGTTATGAGCTTTAAAATTCGTAAGATTTGACTTTGAATATATGAAGGTTAAATTCTTTTGGTTGGATATTGCACAGGTGTCAGCCCTTGAATCAATAATTTCTAAGGGTGGGAAAGTGGAGGAGAAATATGTGCTTAATTTGATTGAGCTGTTGATGAATCAGTTGCTTAAATTAGATGGGATTATGGGCGATGGAGATGTCAAATTGCAAAGAAAAATGCAGGTAACGGAAATTTCAATCTTCTGTCATAAACTCATAATCATTCATTTTCCAAAATTTAAAAGATAAATTTATATTTGCTGTGCTTTGAATTTGATATTATAAAGTTTTATGTGTCGGGCGGGATTTAGAGCCTTGTCTATTTGCCATTGTTGATGAAGGTGAAAAGAGTTCAAAAATATGTTGAAACATTGGATATGTTGAAGATTAAAAACTCAACGCCTAGCAGCGACCGAGGTGATCATATGGAGACGCAGAATCAACACAGGCATTCGAATGGGCAAAAACTAACCCCAATCAAAGAGCAGCAATCTAGGCATTTTAACGGGCAAAGACTAGCACCAATTCAAGAGCAGCAATCAAGGAACTCAGTTGCACATTTGCCAATCTATCAACAATACCAGCAGCAATCAAGGCATTCAGCATCGGAGGGGGTCGTAGTCACCACAAAATGGGAGACTTTTGATTCTTCCCCAGCATTGTTGCCGGTCTCCTCAACATCTACATCAACCTCCAATAAATCAGTCCAGCCAAAGTTCCCTTGGGAATTCTTTGACTAAGTACTATGCCGCGTCTCCTTTTACTTGTGTGTGTGTGGATGTGCTTTGGGTTCGTGTTCCAGTTGGGTTTGTTATCTCTTCTTCTTCTTCTTCCATTCTTTTTGTGCTTAAATTTTCTTGGGCAACCACCCCCCCCTTTTCTTACATCTGTCATCCAGTTCACCAGAAAATAAATGGGGCTTCCACCATAGTGATGATTATTAATTACTATGATGATTAAAGTTAAAACTGTTAATTCTCCTTTCTATTCTATTGTCGTTGAATTCATATTTCAATTTGCACTGTCCTTTTGATGGTGACAAACACTTACATTTGTAGACTTGTTAATTGAGATACTAAGTTTTTAAACTTCCGGATGAAGGGGAGCTGTATTTTGGATGCCTGATGTGTTAATTTTCTTTTAATGATAGAAGTTGTCAGGTTCCATCCTAATCATTAAATTAAGAATATAATATTTTATTAACAAATCACATAATTCTTTAACAATCATACGGTTACCGTGTTAATCTCATTTTCTCCGTTTCTTGACCAAATGGAAGAACCAGTTCAATTGTAATTTATTTGTTCCCCTAGTTTACAACAAGAATATAGTGGTTCGTTAGTATTTAATCTTATTACCATGCTGACTTTGGGGCTGCATATAATGACAAAAAGGGGCCGGTGTTAAACGGATGGGATTTTGGTAATCTATCAGCTAACCCATCCAATGATGGGAAGCCAAGTCTGATAAAAAGTTCCAAGGAAATGAAGACGGTGGATTAATTTAACATTCTTTTTACAAATTTCACTGATTCCAATTTCAGAAAACGTTCCTTATTTGGTCAAGGGCTCAAGGATTTAGGCCTATTACCTACTCAATATATAGACGTACAGGCAGGGTCAGACACATCGAATGGCGTAAACAATAAGAATACTCAGGCTGTTTTGTAAAAATTGTCTTTTAATAAACATTTTTAAAAAGTATTTATATTTTTTAAAAAGTCCAAAATTTTTGTTTTTTTTATGAATTAATGAAAAATATTTTTTATTATTGAATTAATTTTAAATTTTTTTTACAAATAATATTAATAAATACTTAAAATATTTAAAATATTTATTATTAAAATTATTAATATTCAAGAATAATTATATTTTAATAATAATATTTAATATTAAAATATTATATTCATATAAAAATAATAAAATAAAACTATTTATTATTCTTTATATTAATATTTTAAAATATTTAAAATAGTATTATTATTCTTAAAATATTATTTTTATTAGCTTTAAAATAGTAATATTTATCATTAAAATATTTATATTTTATATTAAAAGTATTTGTTATTAAGTCATAACAAAAATATTTTATATTTATATTTATTATTAAAATAGTAATATAAATAACACCTTAATAAATAAAAATATAAAATTATATATTTAAACCAAAAATAATAAGAAATTATAAAAAAATATTCATATTAAGATAATAATACTATTTTATTATTTATTATTAAAATAAGAATATAATACTATTTATTATTAAAATATTAAAATATTGATGTAAAATAATATACAAAATAAAAATATTTAAAATTGAAATATCAAAGATTTTTAATGTTAATATTTAATTTTTTATGAAAATTAAATAAAATATTTTTATTAATATAATAATATTTGAAGTTGAATCAAATCAAGTTTGAGTTTAAAATATTATGTTCAAAATTTTATTTGAGTAAAATTATAAAAATATTTAAAATTAAAATATTAAGAGACTTTAAATATTAATTTTTTAATTTTTTAAATAAAATTAAATAAAAATATTATTTATTAATATAATAATATTTTAGATATGATCAAATTAAGTTTGAATTTTAAAAATATCATATCCAAGGTTCGATTTTATTAAAATTATACTCAAATACATTAACAAGTAGTTTTACTTATAAACAAATTTTTTAAAAATTATCTTATGCTTTTCAAAAAAAGAAAAACAATTAATTATTTTAGTTTTTGTTAATAAATAAATTATTTTCTATTGACTAATTAATTTTTTATCAAATAAATATCTAAAAATATAAAAATTATTTTCTGCAAAACAAATTAAACCTGAATTTTATCGTTTTTCATGCATTATGAAACATTATATTATTTTACCGTTTTGGATGGTTATTTGGAAGGGTAAGAATAAGAAATGAGTCGCCCTATCTGGTTCAACCCTGCCAAGGAGGATGTTGGCTTAAGGTAAATGTATGTACTGTCACATCTTAAAATTGACTTCAAAATGATTTTCAATAGAAATATATATTCTTTTCGTCCTTTTCTGTTCGAGTGATATTGGCTTTTATGATATTTATAAAAATTGACTTTAATATATTTAATTTATATAAAATTAAAGTTATATAAATTTTAATATCAAAAAATAAAAAAAATTATAAAAATAATTTTAAATAAAAACTAAATATTTTAAATGTTAAAAAAATAATTTTGAGACATAAAAAATAACAAAAAAATGAGATGAAAAGAATAAATATTTTGAGATGTAATCTAGAAAAAAGTCATGGCCGTCATTAACATAATAATTCAGAATGGCAAATTGCCAGTAGGAAGCAAATCATTTGCGCTTGATACATGTAGACAAACCTCTCCATGGAAAGACGGAAAAACGAAAAGATGACCCCTTCAATTCTGATTAGCATTACACGGTCAAAAAAAAAAAAAAAAAAAGGTGGTGATCTAACATCCAATTGAAATGATGATAGCAAGTTTGAATAAAAAATACAAGATAGCATTAAACATGAAATGTTAGTAAAAGAACATCAATAATTGTTCGAGAAATATGAACAATAAAGGATCCGTTGTCTAACTTTACCCTGAAAATTTGATAAAGCATCATGGAGGCAGAATGGTCAAATTATGCAAATTTGACGTAACAATATGGACCTTTTTTTTTTTTTTTTTTTGAGATTGTGAATGTCAATACAATTGTTGGACATTAAGATATTAACTTTTTCTAACGCGATAATATCATGATTTTTTTTTTTGAACAATTGATGATGTGAAATTGTGGACACCTATTTTGTCAATAATAATAATAATAATAATAAGTAAAAAAAAAAAATTTTAACTCTAGCAGCTGAAATCAAGATGTTATAATAATTTTTTTCTCTTTTGATACCGACTAATTTGACAGCATTAAATCTAATGACCAAAAATCACCATACAAGTCTCCAAAATTTTTCATAAAAAGATTCCAGAAGTTTTATAAATAGAGCTAATTTTTGTAAAATAGGGAGGGACAAAAAAAGGAAAAGAGAAAACTAAAAAAAAATATATAAAGTAATTTTTTTTTTGGTTTACTAGGTCATAGCTATATTAAAAAAAAAAAACACTATAGTCCTCCCAAAGAGGAACCACTAGTAAATAAATAAATAAATAAATCATTTGCAAAAGCACAAAAAAAAATCTTTTAACCTAAACTGAAAACCATCATCTAGGAATCTTGGGATTTTTTTTTTTTGAAAAAATTTGCTTTAGGAAAAATGTTTAGAATAGAAAAAGAAATATTTTGAGAATTTTTAGGAATTAAAAAATTTTTTTAGGTCACCGAAAGTTGAAAATGTTTGAATTTTTCAACAACCTTTGAATTTTTTGACAACCGAAAACTAGGATAATTGTCAGGATCTAGGAATTTTTTATTTTTCTGACACCATTGCAGATTTTGACCATCAGTGTACAGTGATGACTGACCAAAATCTGGATTGTTACGGTGGCTAGCGAAAGAGATAAATTTTTAGAGAGAGGCTTTAAAGGTAGAGAAAGAGGGAAAAGAGAAAATAAAGAAAAAAAAATCATATTTGAGCTAATCATAGCCCAATGAAAATGATGTCGTTTAAACCTAAGAATCCACACGTTGACTTGACAACCCGACCCGAGGTCAGCACAACCGAATCGTGACCCGCTTCTTCTCATACTTCTTATCGGTCCAATTGAGCTTGTCTAGATCATATTAGACTGATGTTGATTGGATCGTTGATCAGTTTGGTTCAGGCAAAATTTTAAAATTTTTTTTTGAATTATTTTATTATTATTTTAAACTTTTATCATTAATATTTATGCATGTTAAAATGTTTAAGTTTGCAAAAATAAAATTTTATTGTTTTTATAATAATAATTAGTAAAAATAAAAGAAATAAATAAATAATGAAATACATAGTTAACATTTTTTATAATTTTGTTAAAATTTAAGATAGACCTTATAAAATAATGATAAAAAATAATAATTAATAACTATGATACCAATAATAAAAAATGGTTTCTAACCTTTGATAAATTTTTAAAATTAAAAATAAAAAAGTTAAAATAACCAAAAAATAATTAATATAAATACTAAAAAATTAGCAAAAATGTAAAAAAAAAGAAATTTTTATCCGAAGATGAGATTTAAAGGTATTTTAAGTAGTGATTCTTACAAAAATTTCTAGGTAAGAAGATTTTTTAAAAATATTACCATCGTAATGGAGTATTTATAAAAAATTTTCAATACAATAAAATATTTTTTCCTATAAAGCAAAAATAAAAATAAACTAATTTATTAAAATAAAATGACAAAATGTGAGAAAAAAATTTTTACTTGATGATAAGATTCTAAAAGTATTCTGAGTAGTGATGCTTTACGAAATCTTTAGGCGAAAAGATTTTTTTTAAATATTACCAATGTATTAGAGTATTTATAAAAAATCTTCAATATGATAAAATTTATTCTTTTCTTCAAAAATTCTAATAAAAAAACTAATCAAATTTCTAAAAGTAAAATAAAATGTATGCATCAATATATTGTCACTCGTATTACATGCATGATTTTATTTTTATAAAAAGTAAATGCAAATCTCTAATGATGGGGTTTTAAAGTATTTTAAGAAGTGATACCTAATAAATTTCTAGGTGAGAAAGAATTCTTCTAATGTTACCAATTTACTGAAACATTCTAAGAATTATTTTAATAAAATGGTTCTAATTTATTTTTTCAAATAAAAATGGAACAATAAATATGGAATAAAAATAACAAGAAATCAAAATTTCGATAAACAAACAAAATCTAAGAAATTACTTTTTAAACACCGAAACTAAGATTATTTTTGTTAGGATTAATGGATAACACGTAATTAATTGGTACCATTTTAAACATGCGCTATGGCTGGTACCTTTAACTTGTTGAGAAACATTTACTGGCCCCTATTATTGTTGAACCATTAAAACCTACGTTTCCCAAATGGTATGATCCTAATGTACATTGTTATTATCATTATAAAAACCCATGCCATTCTACTAAGAATTGTACTGCTCTGAAGCGTAAGGTGCAATGGTTGGTTAATGAGGGGATATTAAACTTTAATACCAGCTAATGAAGGACTTCAAGTGTTAATGGAAACCCTTTACCAAACTACACTAG